ATTCTGTAGTATTCATTCCACCTCATTCATTCTGTACCTACCGGGCACTAGCCACTCCCACCTGAGGAGTGTAGTAGAGTGTGGTGCGGAGGTAGGCTATGCCTTGGCTGGCCTCACCGTGGGGACTGGCGCGGGTGCCAGAACAGGCCAGACACCAGCCACTCCCATACGGTCGAGGGGAGCCGGTGGAGCCGGTGGAGCCGGCGGCCGTGTCGTCCAGGCACAGATCCTAGCTGCCAGACTCTCTATCGCCTGCATCTGGCAGTCGGTTCAGTCCTGCAGCTGTTCCCACTGTTTCGCCGCCTGCTCCCTCCCCGTGGCCGCAAGCTCGGCCACCGTTTGGGCCAGCGCCTCCCCTGGCTGGCCCGGTCGTGGTTCCACCATGCCCCAATCCTGGGTTTGGGCACCAGTGTAACAGACACATGGCAGACCCGACCACATTTTCACGCTTTTCAGCACACGTCTTTTATTCCAGTTGTCGTTTTACACAGACGGTTGCAGCTTTTCAGCTGCCAGCCACACAATAACAACACAGTCAGGACCCCGTTTAATCCTTTTAAGCTGGCAAGGCGTGATTACTGATGCCGCTCAGGTATGTCCACCTCCCTCCCAGCCGGGCCACAGCCCACACCCTGCCACACAGCCACTCTGTTAAAGATTTCCTGCTGTGCATGAGACCCTTGTCCTGTAGCATGATGTTGTTCGTTATAGCCAAACATCTCTACTTTGGTCTCATCTGTCCAAAGTTCAGTGTTCCAGAAGTCTTGTGGTTTGTTCATAGACGACTTTGCAAACTTAAGCTGTGCTACCACATTCTTATTAAAGAGAAGAGGCCTTCTCCTTGAAACCCTTACAAATAAACCATCCTTCTTTAGTCCCTTTCCAATTGTGCTGTCACGAACTTTAACATTTAACATGCTAAATGAGGCGTGTAGAGTCTGAGATGTAGTTTAGCGTGGGGTGAATTTCCTGGGACGTCCACTACTCCTGGGTGGGAAGATTGTGGCATTATGTTAACACACCAGAATGCCCCAGACCAGCAAACAGCCAAAGCTGTTTCACTGTGCTGTGCTGATGATTACTTAGCAGTACCTGCTACTGAAGCTCAAATTATGGGCTAGCAGCGGTAGCATGTTGGTGGTCCAGTGGTACTGATACACTGTGGTCTACCTGCAGAGAATTTCATTAAACAGTGTCAACAGACGCAGAGTACAAAGTATGTGGTACAACTGGTCTGCGGGCCACTCTTACTTGTGCTGTTGGTGGTTGATCAGCCAGCCATGGAAAAAAACTAATTTGTAACATACAAATGAAAACAAGTGTTAAAAACATGAAAGGTGTCCACTGCAGCCACAGTCTGAACTGTTCACACTGTATTTTGATGTTTCATGGTTTTTGTTTTTTGCTTTTTCTTGCTTCTCTCAGGACTACACAAAGGCACATTCACTGTGGGTGAAGACTCCTCTCTATGCGCTGTCCGCATGGAAATCCTCATGCAAATGGATACATTGGCAGGACAGTATTTTAACCCAAATTGTGATATTTTCTAGCCAAATACCAAATGTGACTTAAAGTAACCAGTGACTGAAAAGGAAACTTAAAAATGGTGATGATAAAAATCTGAAGTCAGTTTTGAGGTGGAAACAATCTCGTGTGTCATTTCAGAACACTTGAAAAATGTTTGTTTCACTTCACTTACGAACTAATGCAGATAAGATCATGTAGTTGGAGGACTGGTTAGAGACATTTCCATGAACTCGATCAAGAAAGTAAAACTTTATTTGTCAGGACACCAATCTGGCACCATTCTTATGAATTAAATTAATGTTAGCGTTTATTAGCAAATGTCAAACACAAAGCCACAAACATTACTTGTATACTGGGATTTCTATGGGAGTAGTACTGGTTTTCTTGTATTGCATTACTGCCCTGTTGTGAAGTTCTTAAATCAACCCAAATCATCCATCCGTAATCATTTTCCAGAACGGGGTTGTGAGCAGGTCAGCGCCTTTCCAACTGTTTATGGCCAAGAGAAGGACAAAGGGTCACCCCGAACAGACTGCCAGTCAATCGTAGGGCCGACTCAATACAAAATAAGACAAATTAAACATTTTCAAACTGAACTGAAAAATAAGGCTTTTAAACCAATAAAAAACTAATGAAAAATAAATAATTTTACTTTAAGGTTTAACTTCAACATGGATGCATCCATGTTCACCTTTTAGAGGTTAGTTGGATGGACTTCAGATTCAAGCCCTGGAGGTTAGACTGAAGTTCATTTAGGTTAGGTTATGTGCTCTAGAAACCTTTTTAAACGGGTCATGTGACTCTTGGCTTTTCTGTATTTTTGTTTGTTCATATTTTAGTTACCAGGATTATAGGAAATGTTATAAGTGAATTTACATTGATGTTTTTCCAATTAAGAAATAGGGAAGTTTTAGAGTTTCCAGGAATTTTTGGAAGGTTTCTCTTCCACTGAGAGAGGGGGAAAGATACATGACAAATTTAGATAACAGAAATATAAGACATCATCTGGAAAACAGATCTCAGTCTCAAACATATGGAGAAGGTCTGGAGAGAGGTACAACAGTAAGTTTCTACAGCCGTCTGTAAAACTTGGTGGAGGCTCTGTCATGGTTTTGGGCTGAAGACTAATTCCTGAAGACTACTTAAAGAAATGACAAAAGACTTCAATCCTACATTTTCTACAGGGTGTCTGTTTTCTTTAATATCTTCATATTTTGTTGGACATCAAAATCAATCAAGCCATAGGCTCATAGATTGTGAAACTCATTTCAGCCACATGGTCTTACATCTTAGCTGAGATGTTGCCTGCAAACTGGAACTTTTCTTTTAGCTCCTGATCTATTTTCTTACCACTTATTCATCTCAGGGTGATTTATTTCACAATATTGGTGATTTAGAACAGGGCTCTCAGTTATCAGCTTACAGCACATGCTAAAGAATTTGCTTCAAAATGCCTCATCAATTAGCAACAACACAACCCATGGATGAATGAATCCTGTAGGTGTGGTATAGGCTGATCATGAAGCTATTGTTGCAGCGGCTCATCCTAAACTTCTGTAAGTGAATTAGTTAATTATACGTGACGCAAGAAAAGAGTGTGACAATGAAGGTGTAATCTGATTATGTGGTGACTTGGTGACCACAGCTATGCTCACAGCGTGCTCACACATACTCAGAAACAAGCCTTTTGATTCATGCTTCTAATATCTCTGAAATGATGAGCATCCTGCTGGGGCTGCTTTCGCTCTTTCCAGAGAGATTTCATTTGTGATGAAAGTTTGAAAACGCTGCTAGGGGAATAACATTGACAAGAACTGAACTCCTCACCCAGGCCTTTGTCAGTGCCTTGAGCCCCAGCCATTAAGCTATGTACAGGACCCCGTGTTTTGCTGAAGATGAAAGCCAACACTCCAATATAGTACAGGTGACTCAGCTTCCAGCTTGGCAGAGAAATCCCCCGAGACCTTTGACCTCCTAATCGTTTAGCAGCGCTTATGGTTGGAGATCTGCTCCAGGCTATTAGAGAGATTAGTGTCACACAGATCTGGGGATGGGCCAAGCCTATATCTGTACTTCATGGTATTCTCAGCATTTATTACTGAACACCCAACCCATGCTGAAACCTGATATATGTAGGTATAGTAGCACATACTGCAAAGTGAGGCTATATGTAGCCTATGTGTGGCATGTGTTGACCTATATGAGTGCTGAGCTGTATAATGAGCATACTGTTGATTAGAAAAAGGACATTTTTTATGTAGTTTAAACCTCAACAACACCACTGTAGATGGCTGTATTATAAATTGTTTTTCTTTTAACATAAGGTGTATAAAATAAGTACACGCTGACTAATGATATGCAATATAGCACGCACAAATTAAAATGAATGCAAGTTATTGTAAAGACTTATAAATGTGTAACAAATTGGGCATTTCTTACTTTGTAAGGATGTTTAAAGAAATGTGACCGCCCATCTTTTCATTATACGGCACGCACTGGAAAACAAAGCTAACAGCCTTCCCGGACAAAAACAATCCCTAGCTCGTAAAGCAGATCGTCAAGCTGGATAAAGTTAGCCAGATTGGCACCGGAAGTTGGCTAGCAGTTCTTTCAGAATTAGGGTAACCCTCCCACCAAAAATGTCAAAAACATTCAAAATACTAAACTACGTTTGTTTATGTGATTCTATGTGGTGGTGGTGGTGGTGGTGGGGATAATTTTTTTTCTTATTTATACAAAGTCCATTAATAATAATGAAGTCTGGACATCAACATTATTGAAGCAATGTGGGATCATCCATAGTGTAGTGGTTTACAAATTCGTCAAACATGCTAAATATGCCCGGTTCATTTGAGGGAAGAGACAGTAATCTCATAAATCCAGAGTCAAAATCTGCCAACTCAAAGACGTGGAGCTACCCTCCGTGGCAACTCCTTGTGAATAAGGGAGCAGGCAAACGTAGCTCCTTGACAGAAAACAGAACAAAGGGCAGCCAACATCCAAAGAAGAGCTTTGGATGGTTTTCATAAAGCCTGGAAAACTATTCCCGAAAACTACTTCAAGAAATGACAAGAAAGCTGCCTAAGAGAGTTCAAACTGTATTGAAACACAAAAATACATCTGAAGTCAAATCATTTTGAAACATTTTGAGAACTCTGTTAATTTAGGATTTTTTTTTTTTTTTTAGATTTTATAAATAATAATGGAAACAGTCACTTAGTACTCAGGATTTAAATAAATGTTCGTACCAAAGCCTCTTTTTACAGAATTTATAAAATTCATTTAAAAAGGACGTCTAAACATCTATCTAAAAAAGGATAGGTTTTCTCCTTCGGTTGCGTAGTTTTATTTTTTATTTCAGTAAACTAAAATTTCTCTATACAACCGTTTTAGTTCGTTTACAAGCGTAAACGCTGTGGTTTTTATTTTGAAAACCCTCACTGGAAGCTCGTTGTATGAGCTGGGTAAGCCTAACAGGGTGCCAGTGACGCCATCTTGAAATCGTCCCGAGCAGAGGAGGCGAGGAGGAGACGGACTTGGGAAAATCAGCTCGTCCTAAACTCGACAGCTACGTGGATTAACGGCAGCTTCAGCGGCTAGTGCTATCATATGATAGTCTTTCCGCTTGTTCGTTCGAATCTTTTGGACCGGGAACGGTTGTTTGGCCCACTTTGGAGAGGGCTGTCGCAGCGGGAGGGGGGAAAGGCAGTCTGGTAATCGGTTGTTTCCCTGCTGGAGCGGACGGAGCCGTGGTTGTGGCCGGGCAGCCCCGCCGGACGAAGCCTAAAACCTCTGCACGGAATATAACACCTAAGATAAAGCTTTTTAATTCTTTTTTGCAAATAGCGGGAGAGTGGAAATGCTCCCTTTCGACGCAGTTTGGACATTTTGAGAGCTATGCGACGGAGCTCACCGAGGAGAAGTTTGATTGGAGAGCGGAGTGCGTTTGATTTGCAGTCCGATGGATGTTAGCCCTGCCCGGCTGTGGCTCGGGTCTGTGCACCGTTTATCTGAAAAATAGCACCACCGGGCACAGGTGAACAATGCTGCTGCTGCAGACCTGGCAAGTACACGATAACCCCGGCTCTAGTGCCATCACTTCACCCTGCATTGCTTGTGTATAAACCTGGAAATACCAGCGACCATCCCCTCCTCCTTCTCTTCTTCATCATCCTCCCGTCTTCTTTTTTTTTGGACTAGTGAGGCTTGCATTACCTGGGATGTTTTGGATGTAGACTCGATCTTGACTTTTTCTAAAAGAAGATGCAATATTTCCAGAGACAACAAGACATTTAATTTGACTCAATCGTTTTGAGATTTTTTGAATTTTTTTCTGGAGCTTTTTGTGCTTTTGTAAAATTCTCTTTCTAGTCAAGAGGATCCGATTCGGATGGAAAATGGGAGACGCCACCAAATTGGCCTTCGCCGTTTTCCTCATCTCCTGCTCTTCAGGTGGGTGTGGAAGTGGGGGGCTATGTATGTTGCGTACGGTCAGCCGTGCAGTGCATAGCTTACTGTTATGTGTAAGGAGTGTAACCTCTTTTAGGCCATCATTGGCGTGCATGCAAACTGCAGGTGAGCCCCAAGATTGAAGGGGAGGGGGGTCAGAGGGCCCTTGAGTGGCTTTTTGTGGGACACAAGGGTACAAATTGGAGTTTTTATGAAGTTAATGAGGGAGCAGCCAGGGATTTGGGTTGATGGAGTGCAAATAAAAGGTAATCAGTCACGATTTTTTAAGGGGGGGGGATAGGCTTTGATGTTTAATCGCGTTGGCCAAACTGGATGCATTCTTTCTACATCTACATGCTAAAAGCCATTTTCAGCACTCTGTGTTGGTAGACGACCATTATATGTAGTTATTTCCCCGGGGTGGATGTTTAATGAATGTCAGTGTAGTGATGATAAAGGAAAGAGAGGTCATCTCGGGAGTGCAGGGCATGCTGTTTATGTGGGCGACTGGGAGAAATGCTTCACACTTTACTTTTTTACTTGCCGGAGTATTCTGAGAGCAATTGTTCTTTAGGAAGAGAAGTTGATCACCTTGAAGTGTGTCATTTTAAATCTACTCTTTGGGTTTGGTTTGATAGTACAAAATCCATTGAATTTGTTTTAAAAAAATAGAATTAGAATAATATAGTTTGCAACAAAAATAAAAGAGGAGACAGACAAGCAATTATACAACGTAATAGATGATTAAAGGGTAAAAAGACGGAAAAATCATATGACTAAAAGCGAGGTTACAAAAATGTGTTTTTACAGGAAGTCACAGATTTTACGAGCCTTATCTGCTCAGGCAGGTTTTAGAAAGCCAAGGGCTCCTGATGGGAGAAGCACCTCCACTTCCTCAGGTGGGGCTCTTTCTAACAATGTGAAGTAGGTTATATAAGGGGGCAGAATTTCTGCTACTTGGCTTTAAGCATGAGTAGGAAAATCTAAAATGTACTGGGAGTCAGAGGATTGGGATGATATGATTCCGTCTGTACCAGTAAGAAGCTTCGCTGCTGCGTTTTGAACTGTTTGGAGGTGAGAGAGTGGTGTTTCATTTGCAGTAATTTAGCCTGGACAAAGCACAAGAATTAACCTTTTTCCAGCTAATATTTTGTTTAATTTTAATAGTAGATGTTATTTGGAAGAAGCAGGAAAGGGTAACTTTTCTAGTTCAAAGGTTAGAGCTGAGTACGTTTCTGACTGCTGGCTTTAGGGTCCTAGGACACCTTCAGAGTGGTTTGTGTGATTTTTAGATCAGGGAAGAGCATGATGTATGATTTATTTATTTATTTGATGCATTTAATTAAAGAGAAGTGTGTGTTTTAGGGATTTATGGTATCTATTTAAAATCTATTTGTTCTAGGGACGGCATATAAATAGGAACTATAACAGGACCCAAAATCGAACCTTGTGGTATGCCACAGATAATGCTCAATTCAAATGCTAAGAGGGGTCACAAAACTCCAGCTCTACGCTTGTTTTGATCCATCTCCAACATTTATCTTTTGCCTGGACACCTTCTCCTCTTAATTTTGCAAGCAATTAAACCTCAATACTGGTGGAAATATACACATAAATATCTAGTCCTAAACCCCTCTAGCTGGGGATTCAAATATTTAAAAAGCATGAACAGGTCTGTTTGCTTTTACTCCCAATGCTGTTGGCTTCTGGCTTCGTATCATTACTCTGACATGGACTTTATTTAAAAAAAAAACAACTTTTAGTATGTTAAAAAAAAATTTTTGCGCTGCTGTCTGTCATAGTTATTATAGAAGGACACTGTTTTTAATTTGAGTAATTTGTGTAAACATAAGTAGGACTCAATATTGCATACATATTAGGCTTATACATGCTATTATCATTGTGCTGATAATTTAAAAAGTAAATTATTGTTATTTTAGTTTTATAATTTGCAATAAAACATGACATAAGTACCAGTTATTAATAAATAAGTCACAGTAAAGGCGTTGGATGTGGTCAAAGGTAGTAAAGTATCTAATTTATGCTTAATAGACTGTCACTATCATTATAAACCTTCAAAAATGACTATTTTGATAGTAAATGTTTGCAACCCCTGAAGTAACCAAGTGATCAAGTAAATCTAGAGTGAACAAGATTTTATAACTTTGTATAACTTGGCCTGGAGGAAGCATATAAATAGAAAATGAGATGGTACCTAAAATGGAACCTTGTGGTTTACCACAGGTAATGTGAGCTGTAGACGATGAGTTAGTTTGACCAGAATCGGTTTATTCTAAAAGATTAGAGGAAAATCATACAAGCAAACACTTATGGTTTAGCACAATCCAGTCTCAAATGCTCCTGTCGGATCTAAAAAGAACTAAAATCATGATCTACCCTGTGGTGTGCAATGATTTTTGACTTGTAAAAGCAAAATATTGAGTAGAAACCACTTTTTCTAAAGCTATAAACTGCACTGTAAGTCTTCACTGAACCACTTCCACCTCCCAAAATGAGCTAATATAGCCTCATATAAACCCTGTGACACTTCTATGACCATGTGAAGTGTAAATACTTGTGGGGAAATTGACACAAGTGTCATAGTAGTTGAGGTTTTGGTGTTGCTAACAAAATAGCACTGCAGTGAGTTTAACTTCCATTTGCAGTTGTGTCACTCGATGTGGTTTGATTGTGGTGTGAGCCTGATGTAACTGGAGCTGACAAAAGAAAACAAAAATTAGGCCCAGAGGCAGAATTTCTTTTCCTGTTGGCTTACAGGATAAACAGAAAATGTTCTAACTTTACTGTTTGTGCGTGTTTGTGCAGCTCCACCGAACCGGTTTTCTCTACAGTTGCTGCCGGCTTACCAAATACTCAGTGTACCTGTGTGAAAGCTGCCCCAATTAACACCTAAGAGAAGTGTAAAATAAACCCTCGTTGCAGCAGAATTGTACTTTCACAGAAATCACCCCACCCCCCACCCCCCTGGGGTGTCTTTTGGGTAGAAATTAAAAGGTTTCTCAAATATGGTAATAGTCGGGGTTGGTTGGAGTTATAAGCCAGGTGCTGCAGGTGATTATTCCACTCACTTATTACTGTCTGAAGTGGGGAAATGAACTAGGTGGAATAATAATCCTCAGTGAAATCGGAGTTGAATTGGCACAGCTCAAGAAAAACCTCTGATAAAGGCAGGGCACTTGGCCTAGAGTGGCTTTTATTTGATGAACATGCCAAAAGAAATGAACAGAGAGAGGTCTCTGTAGCTTTTCAGTGATGTTCAATATGCACCTTTTACCAGCTTCAATTCACTGTGGGATGAAACTGAGAGAAGCAGCTTAAATATTTATCAGAAACTTATTTGGCAGTAGGGGAAACAATCAACTAGTCTGCTCACATAGCCTCTGAAGACAGCCACCATTATTTCAGGACTTCAAGTGTGGACATCCCGTTCTGCCTGCGGGCCATTTAAAAACCCAAATCAACGTCTGACGACAAGGGATGGTTTTGATGTTGCAGTTTTGGGAAATATAATTTCTGGACTCAGCCGAGGCATGTTTGATAAGTAGAGGTCCAAACTGTAGCTGCTTGGTTATGGCAAACAGTCAAAATCCCCATTGTTTAGCTCCATGATGCAGTGGTTAATACACTGGCCTCACACGCAGAAGATTCTTTGTTCAAAACCAGGTGGAGTCACAAATCCTAGTGAGTCTGTAAAAATCGGTGCCGAATCACGTATGCTGTGTGAATTAGAGAGCAGCCGGAAGAAAGTTCCACTTGGGTGTTGGAAAAAAATAGATTTATTAAACCTCAACCCAACCACAGTCTGAGTGGGAGTAAACCTGGACTTTTAGTGAAAGCAAAAGTTTGATATCAAGCATCTGTAATATAAAATGACATTTTGTTTAATTACATTTTAAAGAAAAGCTTCTTGATTGTGGTAAAAAATCCCAATCAGTGGTAAGATTGTCATTATTTAACAGTGGGGGTTTTTCCAGAGACATTGGAAAAATAGGACAATCATTAAACTTAAAAAAAAAAAGAAAGTTGCCTTTTTTATTTAAACTCTAACTTTAATTAGAATTTAAAAGAAAAGAAATTAATGTGAACTTGACAAAAGCAAAATTGGCAAAAGCGATGTGCTGAAAGGCAGAACGAGCTTTAATGCAAAACAGAATGTGGCCAAATAATTGTTTTTATCTCGATCAGACAGTTTTTTTTAATAATCATTGAAAGCCAGAATTGTGTTGAAATTGATGAATTGCACAGCCCCAGTAGAAATGTAAGAGAACAGCAAATGGGAAAACCAGTTTTGGAAAATGTGAAAGCTGCAAAGAAATGGAGAAGGGCTTACATTTTGCCCTCCAAATTTATTTCACTATAACAGCCTTCTAACTAACAAAGATGTGGCATGCTACCCCAGATTAAGCAGATAAAAGATAAACTGTTAAATGACAGATTGATTTTTTTTAATCTCTTAGTTAAATACTATAGAAATTTGTGGTTTTACTGCAATGCCACAGTAAGAACGAGACTTTATCTGTGGATATCTTATTCTTGAAGGACTGAGTCCAGGTAATGAGCTGCAGATCCTAGGGCTGGGCTATATCATACCGTTCACGGTAATACTGGTGTAATTTTGGGCAACGATAGGAAAATGACATATCACGATAGAATAGGGGTAAAACGCGCATGTGCAGTGCATATGTTTACATACACACATGGCGGCGACGCAGAATGAGAAGAGCGAAAGCGGATCGTTAAATGAAACGGATGAACCAGAATTGGTTTGTAAAAATGCTGCAACTTCAGTGGTGTGGAACTGGTTTAGCTTTCATCCGTCAGATAAACAACAAAGCACTATTTTTGGTAGAGCATGCTAGCGGGCCGCCGTTATTACAGTGATTTTTGGAAAATACGGCACACTTAAAATCAATCCTTCGATTTTTCTGAAAATCGACAGAGCCCCTTATAATCCCGTGTGCCTTATGTATGAATTCTGGTTG